GTTTTTCTTCTGTTGATTTGTAATTTTCAATTTCATTTAATATTCCATTTATGCCATCGATTAGAGTTCCTAAATTTACCTCAGGTTTTTTTATTTCTCTGATGATTTTTATAGTTTCAGAATTTTATGCACAGGTCTATGACCACCTTGAGTTAGGGGTTTTGGGGGGGTTCTTTTTTTAAAAAAAATTATTTTATAACTTTTTGTGTGTACCGCCAAATCAGATCTGACTGGTACAGGAGGAAATTGCCCCTCTTTCTCCAGCAGAATATCTCTTGCATTTGAACCGCATACCTCTGGGATTGTAGTGCAGCTTCTTGCCACTAGGCCACCAGGGGTCCCTTTGAGTTAGTTTTTGTATGTGGGGCTTGTTTCCATTTTCTGTAAATCTATATCTGATTTTGCCACACCATTTGCAGAAGAAATTCTCTTTTCCCACTTAGTGAACTTTCATCTCTGTCAAATAGATAGATGAATTTATTTTTTAGTCCAGCATGAGAGAATTTTGGAGAGTGATAAAATAATTTTCTATTTTATTTGTAATAATGGTTATCACATTTGTCAAAACTCATAGAATTCCATACTAAATAAGGTAGTTTTTACTCTGTGTGAATTATACCTCAACAAACCTATTTTCAAAAATGGTACCACTTATCTCAACACCTAAAAGCAGCACATGCCTAGGGATAAGTTAAAAACATGCAATATCTCAACATGAAGAGCTATAAAGCATTAGTGAAGGGGGTGTGCTGAATCTATTGCTTAGAAGTCAAACTACTGTAATAATGTCCGTTTTCTACCATTGTGTGTATACATGCTAAAAGAAAAAAATTAAATGAGTTGTGCTCAAAGCATAAGACAAGTAATAGACAAGCCATGACGGGTTTTCATGAATTAGCCAGAATGATGAGCTCATGAGAATTATAAATCTGCCAGCGTCAACAATGAGCACCCCATCAGGCAAAAATAACAATATGAAGGAGGCCAAAACCAAGACAAAGGCACTGGATTAAATTACTAAACGGAGAATAAAGTAACTCTTAAAAATGGACAGATGAGCTAAGCTTGAACATGACCTTTTGGTTATTTATTATGCTAGGCCTCCGGTCTTTTGTTCTTAGAGTCACTATGTAACATGAAACCTATACCTAAATCAAGAAGCTGTTATACAAACAAAGCAAGGGAATATACAATGGATTAAAATCGAAGAAAATGGGCATTAATACTGTATCCTTTCCTCAAGTGTATTCAGTCTACATGCTGAACAAATCATTTAAGAAGTTAAACTATATAAAGAAACATGTGGCATCAGAATAGGAGGAGACTGGAGAAGCAGTAGAATGCTCTCAGATGGGCGTTTATGGGCAGTGAGAACCAATAAGAATGCTTGGTCATGGAGGAGTGGGGAATGATGGAGCTCCGGGGACTTGGACCTTGCCTTGATTCTTAAATTCGGTTGGGCCCGAAGGACTGGTTTTAATTGTTTTTGGTCAACCCTTCCCCTAGGTGGTATTACACTGGTCTGTCCATTTGCTGTACAGAGGTAACTCGTGGTTGCTGTGATGCTAAATACTGCAACACTGATGTGTCAAATGTGATAATGGTCAACCATGGTGGACAGTGTTTGGTGGAGCTCCCCAAGTAAAACAAGCTTGGAAGCAGGAGTGGCATCCACTTCTGAAATGGCTTGCCTCTGGAAACCCTATGAATTCTTTCAATGGGAAGCTCTGGTGGCTTCATGGTAAGGAGCTACGCTCCCGACTCAAATGTACGTAGGTCAAACCCACCAGCTACAAGAGAAATATGGGCACTGTCTTCTCATGAGATACACTGCTTCTAGAAAGACCCGCTGGAGGGGCAGGTGTGGGTGTCCCAACGGTTAGCAAGAATAAGCTCTTTCCATAAGATGACACAAGGTTTCTGCTATGACCTCAGTACGTAATTGATCCTGGAAATACCGTTTTCATGGGAATAGCTACTTATTGGCATGAGGAGATGCTCGCTTCCTAACTGTGGTGAATGCTGGGAGGTCTTGTTATATCTCTGGGCCCCTAAGAGTGAGATTGTCCTGTTTTATGAACTGTATCTGGGAAGTGGTGGTCCCATTACTGGGGACTATAGGAAACCTTCGACTTCTCCATGCTGTGTCTTCCTGCAGTGTCCAAGTTACTCAACATCCTACAGGTATTCTCAGGGAAAGTTCAGTGACATATGCGCCTAGGAATTTGGATGTCACCAGGCATACTCCAATCTCGTGCTATGCTTATAGATAGCTTGCATTATATTTGTTGAAAAACAATGAAGTAAAAGCCAGTGATAAATGCAGAAGCGTAAAAATATTCCCTCATTCAGGAAGCTTACTTATGAATAAGAAGAATTCTACTTCATCATGTGATTTATGCACCGTGAGATTGTCCAGGGTCTACACTCGATGTTCTGAAAGCTGAGGCGAGGCACCCATGCTGAGCGTGGTATTGTGGCTATGTGGGGACTTCCTCTGCCTCTGAGAGGTGGATGAACTCTAATGGGTAACACCTTTCCGCCACTTCTAAATCTGTTATTTTAAAATGAAATATTTGCTACAATGCCTTTCTATTTATGATCTCTTTCAGTTAAGGTGGAAAGGAGCTTTCTTCGATTATGAAATTTGTGAAGGCATTGTTGCTGTTATGTTGTTATGTGCCGTCAAGTCGCCTGCGACTATAGCGACCCTATGTACAACAGCCCTAAACTCCGCTCTGTCCTGTGCCAATCGCACTGTCTCTGACACTCCCATCCTGACTACCCCAGTCACTGAATCAATCTACCTCATAGAGGGCCTTCCTCTCCTGCGCCGTCCCTCCACCTTCCCAAGCATGATGTCCCTCTCTAAGCACCGGTCTCTCCTCACAACATGTCCAAAGTATGTTAGACGGAGCCTCAGAATCCTTGCCTCCAAGGAGCCACCTGGTTTAACCCTTTCCAGGACAAATCTGTTTGTTTTCCTAGCAGTCCATGGTATTCTCAATACTCTTCTCCAGCACCACAGCTCAAAGGCATCAATTCTCCTTCTATCCTCCTTGGTCATTGTCCAACTCTCTGATGCATAACAGGTGATTGTGAAGACCATGGCCTGTATCAGACGCACCTTAGTCTCCAAAGAGATACCATTGCTCTTCAGTACTTTGGAGAGGTCCCTAACAGCAGTCTTTCCCATGACAATGTGCCTTTTAATTTCCTGGCTGCTGGTGTCAAGACTGTTGACTGTGGAGCCAAGCAAACTAAAGCTGTGAACAATCTCAATCTCTTCACCATCCATCCTGATGCTGCCAATTGGTCCAGTGGTGAGAATCTAATTGATTCTTAATAACTAAATAGATAATTAGTGCTAACAAACAAGGGTGTCAGTTTAAAAAACCTAAGGCACATTTGATTCAAATCAAGTTTTTTTCAATTTATATAAAATCTGGACAACGACTAAGCAATACTAAAGAAGACCTGATGTCTTTGAACTGTGGTGTTGGCGAAAGGTGTTGAACACAGATTGCCAAAAAGAACAAACAAATCTGTTTTGGCAGAAGTACAGCCAGGGCGCTTCTCGGAGGCAAGGTTGGTAAGACTTCATCTGGCATATCATGGGCTGTTATCAGGACAGACCAGTGCCTGGAAGGGGACAGCATCCTTGGAAAGGTAGAGGGTCAGAGAAGGCCAGGAAGACCTTCCACGGGATGAATTGACTCGGGAACTATGTTAAGCTAAAGCACAATGAAGGTGGTGCGGTATCGGCCAGGTTTAGACCTGCCCAGCGTCAGGTGGCTACAAGTCTGAGTCGACTCAACAGTATGTAACAATGAGAAGATTCACCCCATGCAAGTGCCCGTTGGTTCCGAAGAAGAGCACCATGTCCCGAGAGCCTCTCTTCCACCTTCTCCACACGATCCTAGATGGGGCATCAAACACACACGTCAACGACCCAAAAGAGGGAGTAAGGGATTCAGCACAAGTTGCTACTAAAGCCGGCCATGGCTGCATCTAATGGTGGGTCAACCTCCTTCAGATACAGCAAGGACAACAGGTTATGAGGAACATGGACAAAGGCTTCCCTCACCCCGGTGCACTGACACAGTGACTGCAGCAAGGGGCTTGAGTATCAGAGACGGTGAGGTCGGCACAGTGTTCAGCTCTGTTATTCTCAGCGTTGCTATGAGTTGTACTCAACTTGACTGACGGCACATAACAACAACATATACTTGTTAAGATGCTCTGGTGTCAAAGTGTGCTACCTGTTGCATTACTGTCCAAAGAATCAGTGGTTCGAGTCCGTCCATGAGCTGCATCCCAGGAGAAACAGGGACAGTCTCCTGAAAAGATTTCCAACTTCAGAAACCTGTTACTTGGTAACAATGGGTTTGCATTTGGTTTTTTATGTGATTGCTAGAATTCAAGTCTTTGCTCCCTGAACTCCTCTCCTTATGACTAGGCTTGGTTCCCTCACTGCTAAAGGCCTCCAGACGCCTCCATTGCTTCCTTCCCAAGGAGGCGGCCAGGCCCTTTGGGACATATCATTTCTAATTAATCTATCTTTGCTTTTTACTTAAAAAAATCAAACCACAAAAACCTTTAAACTTCAGTCTGATAGAGAATCTTAAACAGAAATATTGAAGGTAAAATTTTGTGAACTTAGAATGGTACTAGACTGAATTTCAGAAGTAAACTAAAATGGAAAGGATTCTTAAGTCTACAAAATGTTGGTAAAATTAAATATCTGAACCTTTGATAAGGTTGGAGATTAACTCTCCACATGCTTGTCAAACTCCTGAAAGAAACAACATGGGCTTCAAAACGTAATTTATTAGCAACACATATAGGCATATATATGCAACATATACCACAGTGAGGGCAGAAATCGAATGTATTCTCTTTTTTTTTAATCAAATGTATTCTATGAAACCAGAATAGCTTTAAGTATTTTAGATGAATAAGAAGCTCACAGATTTAGCAATGCTTTCTGTCCAAAAACATCACATGAGCATTTTGCACTTGGCCCGGTCTGCGTGGTGTAGCTCATCAAGGACGTTTCTGATGCTCTCTACACAAACTTCTCCACCTTGATGTTTCTGTGATGCACGATTCCACACATTTTCAAATTCTTCATCGGAAAGCTTGACACCAATGTTACATAATATCTGTGCAATCTTGGAGGGGGGAAAAGAAAATATCAGGTCAAGATCTGTATGTTTTAAAATGTGAATGTATTAAAAATAAATGCATATATAACATCTCAGAATGTGAATATTTATTTTAAAAACTGTGAAGGGAGTGTGTGTGTGTGTGTGTGTGTGTGTGTGTGTGTGTGTGATGACCACTCTGATACTATGAACGTGATGATTTTGCTTTGCATTGCTAACCAGAGATTAGGAGGTTAGGGCAAGTTTCAGATCTGTTGTTCCGAAAGTCACTGTAAGTGGCTGTCAACTTGATGGTGCCTAATGACAACAACAATCTCTCTGAAGGCAAGATTATTAGAAGAGATGAAAAGTGAGACAAATATTCTTCTATGTTCAAAAAGTAAGAAAAGAAAAGCAAGAACTAGCAATAGGAAGAAAAGGTAGAAAGAGTAAAGAGAACAAAAAAATATCAAGACAAAACCTAAAAAAAAATAAAGAGGACAAGCATACACTGTGAAACATGCAGAAGAAAGGAAAGATGGGAATGAAACAAATGTTAAGACCACACGTAGGAAAACCAGAGAGAATCGTGGTGGAATCCCCCAGTAAACGGAGCCTTGGTGGTGACTAAAAGGGCGGTGTGTCTTGGTGAGAAGCGAGCAGGGTGGGCAAATGTAGAAGATCAGAACTACACAGAAAAGCACCTCCATTCCCTCATGTCCACGTACCTCAGAGTCAATTCTGACCCCCTGGAGCCCTACAGGACAGAGTGACACCGCCCACATGGCTTGCCGAGGTCATGCGTCCTTACAGAAGCGGACTGCTATGTCTCCCCCAGAGCAGACATAAAGGGCGGCTGCCTGGCCTTCATCACGCGTCCTCTGTCCTTCCAGAGACCCAAGGCCACAAGGACCCAAGGAAGGAATTGGTTCTTTTGACCTTAACTAGAAATGCAAGTGATGGTTCATGTTAAATGTCAACTTGGTGAGGCCACAGCGGCCAACTGGTCAAGACGTTACTATGTATCAGTTGTCTTTAAAT